ACAAATCAGCTCAGAATGTACATTGTATCGCATGATGAGAATAAAGGAAATGGCTAAAATCTCAGTAATAAAAACTAGTGGAACTTGCAAATGCCCTCTCTTTTAGAGTGTAGATGTGGCAAGTAGAATATTTGTGTTAGAAAGTTCTCTGTATTTAAAAGGCAGTGCTTCTGGGTCATTATGACATACCATTCCACCGAGTCAGCGGTGATGTGAAGAGTTTCTAGGGACAGTGATGCTATTGATAACAGGTCACTGATTCCAGATAGTTCCTGGGTGCCAAGACCTTTGTATTCATTCCCTTTTTTAAACTCCCCAAATACTGTGGCCTAGAAACACTGCCACCCCTGGTTCTGGGGAGGAGACTCAGTGAGTTTGAAAACCCCACCCAGTGTCACACAGCAGAGAGATTCAACTGGGCTGTTAGATTCCAGAGCCACTGCCCTTGGTGGCTTTTGGCTACTGCTGAGAATACTAAGAACCCTGGGCTCAGAGAGGTGGGATGGAGGGAGATTAGGCATCTCCTAGGCCAGTGGTTTTTCAGGCAGGGCCCTGGGCCAGCTACATCTGAATCTGTTACTTGTGCAGATTCCCAGCCCCACTCTGACCTGCTGAGTCCAGAAGCAGGATGGGCAGGCATGTCTATGTGAATGGCCCTGAATTTGGTTTTAATGCATACTCACATCTGATAACCACCTTGATTTGTACACAGGGCTTTGGAACCACAAAACAGCAGGGTTTTTCAACATGTTTCTGTCAGGCTTAGAGTTAAAATTCAAGCTGTGACCCCACCATGCCCCACAGCAGTACTATGCCAAACTTATGACATAGCAAGATGCTGGTCTGTTAGAAACGGAAGGGAAAATAACCCAAATCTGACTCTCCTGACGGTTCCTGGTGGGAACCGTCTAGGTCTATCATTGCAGGAGGGGCAGTCCAGGTCCATTATTGCAGGAGGGGACAGTCCAGGTCCATTGTTACAGGAGGCTCAGGTGAAATTTAGTCATGATTGCCTTTTGTCTTTAAATCTGAGCCTGAGCTATGCTGCTCCTCAGTGAACAAATGACTTTGCTGTTCAAACCCTCTTTTACC